TTCTAAATTGGTTAAATAGCAGTGTTGACAAGAAAAGTGTATGTTTTAATCATTGTTATATTTCAGTGTTGAATTAAAGACAATGAAAAGAATTTTGTTGCTTTCTTTTTAATTTTACAAACATAAAGAATAATTTAGTAACTTTATTGTTTTAAAAATGCAGTATAAGTATCCTACTATAGGAAGTTGGGATTTCTTTTATATTGTTATTATAATTTTATGAAATATTTTGTGTTCAATATGTTGTTTAGTTATTTGCCATGCTGGTAATATGTACTTTCTTTTCAATCTATTAATAATATATTCTGAAAACAGGGACAAAAAGTGAGTTTTAAAATTTTAAATAGTATTTAAACAGTGTAAATATCTTTCTAAAACAATACATTCTCAAGAATAAAATTAGCTCAGAAATCAGTAACTGATTTGTCACAATATGGGCACTCAAATGTATTTGGCATTTAATTAATGACAATGACACAAGAAAAGGACAAATTAAATATTAAAGTCACTTTCCACAAAATATGTGGAATGATAGAATTAGAGTTTATATTTATTTGCACTGTAAAAGTCAAATCAATAGTGTTATAAATTAGATATCACTCATATTATTTAAATTTCAAAAGAAGGGTTTTCTTCATTAAATTGCATAATAATGTGTTTCTTCTAATATGGATGCTAAGATATCTGGCCCTTAGCAAAATTTTTGCTTTGACATTTTTCTTTCTTCAAAAGCTGTTAGTACTCAGAGTAGGAAACAATGGACATAAGCAGACAGCAAATTGAGAAAAGTAGAGAATTATACTACATTCCCTAATATATTTGCTGTCCTGGTTAAATTACAGTTTTACAATCTACTAGGGTTTCTCAACTTCTGTAGTATTGAAATTTTGACCCTGATAAATCTTTGTTGGGGGAGGCTGTCCTGTGCATTTTTGAATATTTAGCAGCAGCCCTGGTGTTTACCCACTAGATGACAGTAGCTCCCCTCTTTCCTCAAGTGTGACAACCAAAAATATTTCCAGACATTGCCAAATGTCCCCTGGGGGTCAAAATTGTCACTGGTTGAGAACTACTGTTATAATCTATATGTATTCTAATCCTGTAGAAGTTTGTGTAGGATAAAGAATGGTTTGGTATTTTTGGTTTTTTTTTTTTTTTGGTAAGTGTCACAGTTGTCATATTT